TCCCCCTCGAAATTAGGTCTGGCATGGATTTTTTTATACCTTTGGGGGCAGGGTCCCCCTCAAAATCCATACCGGACCTATAGGGTCCAGTATGGATTTTTTTATACATTTCGGAGTGCGGTCCCCCTCGAAATTAGGTCGGGTATGGATTTTTTATACCTTTCGGCGTGGGGTCCCCCCTTAAAAAACGATTTTTTCGGAGTGAGGTCCGATATGGCTACATTTAGGGGGGGGTCCCCCTCAAAATCCATACTGGACCTATAGGTTCCGGTATGGACTTTTTATACATTTCGGAGTGGGGACCCCCTCGAAATCCATACCGGACTTATAGGGTCCAGCATGGATTTTTTTATACATTTCGGAGCGGGGTCCACCTCGAAAACATAGCGGACCTATAGGGTCCGGTATGGATTTTTCATACAATTCGGCGCGAGGTCCCCCTCAAAATCCATACCGGACCAATAGGGTTCGGTATGAATTTTTTTATACCTTTTCGGCGCGGGCCCCCCCTCGAAATCCATACCGGACCTATAGGGTCCGGTATGGATTTTTTTAATACATTTTGGCGCAGGGCCCCCCTCAAAATCCATACCAGACCTATAGAGTCCGGTATGGATTTTTTATACATTTCGGAGCGGGGCCCCCCTTGAAATCCATACCGGACCTATAGGGTCTGCTGTGTGTTTTTTTTTTTTTTTCTTAATTTGTATATGCCCTGCTGTCAGAGAGTTGCTAAGGATGAGGCGGGTGCCTGCTCCGCAAACAACCAGCTATTCAACTGGTCGTTATGGACTCCGGCAGCTGCCGGCTCCTTAACAACCAGCTAAAATGAGACGTATTCTTTAACTGTCGCATGTCTGGACCACTACTTATTTAATGCATGATCATAGAGATGGTCTTAACCCCTCCCCCCCGTCTCTTTTGGCAAAGGGTTGGATGAGGCCCCCGGGCCCCAGCTTGGGCTCCAATGATTTAGAATTTTCTGTACGTCTGACCGTGACCAGTCCACTTTGAAGCTGTCTGGTCCGGCCGGCGCAGGTGAGACGGTTTTGTCTGCTTTAGCGGCTCTATCCGTCGACATTTCAGGGAAAACAGCTTGCCGGGGTAATGGATGTGTTGTGATGGGAACATCGACCACCTGCGCACATTTGCATTATCGCGGCGACCTGCGAATTTGACGGCTATTTATCGCTCCTTGACATTTAAGGAAGGCGTAATGTAACACATTCGGGCTCGGAAAAGCCGAACGTTTTTCAGCTCCATTTCACTTTGTTGCCCTGAAGCCGATCGCCGCGCTTTGTAAAACTGTCCAAGTTTGGGGGAAAAATGATGCCATTTATATGTCAATTATGTCGTAAAATTCTGACAGCATCGCAGGCGATGATTGGCTGCTGGATGGAAAAGCCATTCTAAATATTTACAATCCAGTTTTCCATCCCCCCGCCTTCTGGAAGCTGACCTGAGGAGCGCTGCTTACTTTTTATTATGGCTCCAAACATGAAACCATGGACAGGCTTAAAGGGGAAGAGTTCAGGGGATTTTTTTCCTGCTTTTTAATTTTGTAATTATTTTATTAAATTTTTATTTTATTTATTTACTTTTGGTTTCCTGCACCATTCACTTTGTAATTAATGTGAATTTTAAATGTGGTATTAATTTATTTTTATTTTATTTATTTATTTATTTCCTGCACCATTCACTTTGTAATTAATCTGAATTTTAAATGTGTTATTAATTTATTTTTATTTTATTTATTTATTTATTTATTTTTCCTGCATCGTTCACTTTGTAATTAATGTGAATTTTAAATGTGCTATCAATTTATTTTTATTTTATTTATTTATTTATTTATTTTTTTTTCCTGCACCGTTCACTTTGTAATTAATGTGAATTTGAAATGTGTTATTAATTTATTTTTATTTATTTATTTATTTTTTCCTGCACCTTTCACTTTGTAATTAATGTGAATTTTAAATGTGTTATTAATTTATTTTTATTTAGTTTATTTCCTTTTTTTTTGCAAAGTTCCGCACCGTTGATTGAATTTTAAATGTGCTATTCATTTCATTTTATTTTATGTTTATTTTTTATTTTTTTCCTTTTTATTGCCCTCCAGACGATTCCCCCCCCCCCTTCCTGACCCGGCGCTGCGTTACTTTACTTGACAATGAAGGTCGGTGCTCCCTGTGACCGTGCGTGCAGGCTTGTGCTGCCATCTGTTGGCGTGTTACAAAACTAGTGTCAAAACCTTTTGATACCACTTCATATATACTGCATATGTATGCTGTATAATGTAGAACTTGTAACAAAATTCATTATGAAAGAGAAAAGAATCCTTTCTTTACACTCGGTTGTAACCGATAATAATAATAATAATATATTTAGTAGAAACTTACAAAAATCATGATGGAAACAGATCATAGCATGAATATATCAGAGAAGAAATTTAAAAAAGTAAGCACAATACTATTGAAAATAAATTACATTGGGGATGAATAAAAATTTTAAAAATGAATTGCAAATGAATTTGAATTAAATGGAAATTTCAGGATTGATCGCTAATTACATTCCGTATGACATACATTGGAGCCTAATTGGCAATGCTGTTTGCTTTGTTGTCAATTAGACTCCGATGTATGTAATACGGAATTTAAATAGCGATCAATACTAAAAATTTCCATTTATTTGCAATTCTTTTTTAAAATTTTTATTCACTCCCCAACGCATTTTATTGTCGATATTATTTGTTTTATAATACTTTATTCCATCTTTTTAAAAACATTTTTACAACATATCAATATGGTTTTGTTTTAAGTCTGCACTGTAATATTTTCAGTTACAGTTGAACATCCTTTTCCATTTTTATAATAAATTTTGTTATAATTTTTACAATTTTATATATATTTAAATTACAGTATAATATATATATATATATATATATATATATATATATATATAGATATATACACAGTAGAGGTATATATATATTAAATATATATCTCTTTTCTTAAATAAATTAATATATATATATATATATATATATATATATATTATACCTCTACTGTGTGTGTGTGTGTATATATATATGTATGTATATATATATATAACATATATATATCTCTTTTCTTAAAATATATATAAAATATATATATATATATATATATATATATACACACAGTATACCTCTACTGTGCGTGTATGTGTATATATATATTATTCAGCCACTACAAAGGTTAGTGAATAAATATCCTTCTGATCAAAGGACATGTCCTGCATCATTACTGGCAATTCTGGAAGTCTTGAAGGTAGTGGAAAAAATTTCCATTTATTTGCAATTCATTTTTTAACATTTTATTGTTGATATTATTAGTTTTTATAATACTTTATTCCATCTTTTTAAAAACATTTTTATAACATATCATATGTTGTTTTTTTTTAAGTCCGCACTGTAATATTTTCAGTTACAGTTGAACATCCTTTTCCATTTTTATATAATAATTTTTACATATATATATATAGCCAATACAAAGGTTGGTGAATAAATATCCTTCTGATCAAAGGACATGTCCTGCATCGTTACTGGCAATTCTGGAAGTCTTGTAGGTAGTGGAGGTGGAAGGAATCCTGGAGATCCTAGCAGGGATCCTGTTGGGAATCTTGGAAGACACAGCAGGGTTCCTGAAAATCCTGGAAGACCCGGCAGGGCTCCTTTGAATTCTGAAAGACCTGACAGGGATCCTGCAAACCCTGGAAGACCCAACAGGTATCCTATGAATTCTGGAAGACTCGGGTATCTCAGGGACCTTGCATATCCATGGAGACCGGCAGGGATCCTGCAAATCCTAAAAGATCTGGCAGGTATCCTGCAAATCCTGGAAGGCCTGGCAAGGATCCTGCAAATCCTGAAAACCTGTCAGGGATCCTTTAAATCTTTAAATCCTGAGCGACCTGGCAGGGATCCTGCAAATCCAAGAAGACCAACAGGAATCCTGAAAATCTGGGAAGACCAGGCAGGGAACCTGCAAATCCAAGAAGACCTGGCAGGGATCCTGCAAATCCAGGAAGACCTGGCAGGGATGCTGCAATTCCTGGAAGACCGACAGGGATCCTGAAACTCCTGGAAGACCTGGCAGGGATCCTGAACATTCAAGAATATCGACAGGGATTCTGCAACTGCAAGAAGACCAACAGGGATCTTAAAAATCCTGGAAGACCTAGCAGGGATCTTGCAAATCCAAGAATTCAGTCAGGGATCTTGCAAATCCTGGAAGACCCAGCAGGTATCCTGAGAATCCTGGAAGACCCCGACCCAGCATGTATGCTGAGAATCCTGGAAGCACCAACAGGGATCCTGCAAACCCTGGAAGACCCAGCAGGTATCCTGAGAATCCTGGAAGACCCAGCAGGTATCCTGAGAAGCCTGGAAGAACCAACAGGGATCCTGCAAACCCTGGAAGACCCAGCAGGTATCCTGAGAATCCTGGAAGCACCAACAGGGATCCTGCAAACCCTGGAAGACCCAGCAGGTATCCTGAGAATCCTGGAAAACCCAGCAGGTATCCTGAGAAGCCTGGAAGAACCAACAGGGATCCTGCAAACCCTGGAAGACCCAGCAGGTATCCTGAGAAGCCTGGAAGAACCGACAGGGATCCTGCAAACCCTGGAAGACCCAGCAGGTATCCTGAGAATCCCTTAAGACCCAGCAGGTATGCTGAGAATCCTGGAAGAACCAACAGGGATGCTGCAAACCCTGGAAGACCCAGAAGATATCCTGAGAATCCTGGAAGACCCAGCAGGTATCCTGAGAATCCTGGAAGACCCAGCAGGCATCCTGAGGATCTTGGAAGACCCAGCAGGCATCCTAGGAACTCTGGACGTCCCGTCAAAGATCCTTTGAGTACTGTAACACTTCCAAATGTTCACACACACATTGAGGGATGCTGGACTGCAGTGTATTTATTATAACACCTAGACTGCTTAGAAGTTAGAATAAAGGCAGACTATCACGTACCTGGTGATGGAGGCCAATGGAGAGAGGGCTTCCCTTGCGGCTAAGTTCCAGACTCCCCTGAGAGTGGGACAGCGGGAATCATGTTCAATTCAGGTCGCCTGTAGGAGTGCTGGTTGGTGGTCCACTCAGAAGCATAGCTGGTGCACGGAGATAGGTCTGCAGAGAAGAGGCGACTCTGTGTGGTATGCAAGCCCTTCCGGGATCTTTACTGGGTAGTCGGTTCAAGCCAAGGTCAGGTACCAGGTGGGAATCAGAGCGGACGTAGTAAGATGAGGAGTGAGAGAGAGAGAGAGAGTATCCGTAAGCCAAGCCGAGGTCAGATCAGGGGTAAATCAGAGTAGACAGGTCCAGGAGCAAGCCAAGTCGGTAACAGGAAATCACGGGTCAGAATCACAGGAAACAGGAACAGGGCACGGGGAGCTAGAGATCATCCAGCAACCAGAGGAAGTGATGAGCCTCCTTATAAAGGCCGTCTGGCACCAAACTGAGGCTGATGTGACCTTCTGCGGCCATGCAGAGTACTGGCAGAAATGCCAGATCTTCCCGAACTTCTGCCGTGGACAGGACCCTGACACAAATGCTCACACACAAATTGAGGGATGCTGGACTGCAGGATATTTATTATAACACCTAGACTGCTTAGAGGTTAGAATAAAGGCAGATGTTCCCACTGAGCAGTCAGAAAAATACTGCAGGCAAGGGTTCCATGGAAATCTTCAGAGCAGAATCAGGTTAAAATTTGGAGTTGTTTCCTAAAATTCTTGCAGTGTACATTGCTGGCCTTAAGACAAAAACTGCATCATATTAAGATATCTTTCCTGCCATCATCCCCTTGACCCACCTGTGGTAGACCTCATTCTTCATTTTTTGGCTTTAGTCTTGGTGGGCTCTTTTGATCCTGCCAGGCTCCTCTCTGAGGCTCTGTTCAACTCAGCTATACACTCTACTACCCCCCAATCATATTTATTGAGTATTCTGTCTCAAACTCTGTTACTTATGTGTCGGGTCCAGCCATCAGTCGTGTGCCAAATGGCAGTTGCTACGGCAACCCATAATCGCTCACCCATTGTGGGCATCATGGTGCCAGAAATCAAAATAATAGAAAGGAACATCGGTAACGAAGAGCTCCACCGAACCTCCAGTTGCCAGGGAGGCTTCCCCTGTCCAGGTGAGTCGGGGCTGTTTTGTATTTATGAGTCGCTTGGATATAACAATTTTATGGGCCGTGCGTTCTTAACGGAGAGAAAAAAAAACCTGGAATGAGGAGTTCATAAAGAAAAAGAATCTGCAGGTGCGCTCATACAATTCGGGGCCAATTTCCGGCGCTGAATGTACAGTCATCATCGAGGAGAGGCGGCATAGGGGGCCCAACTCATGCCTAGCCACAGAATGATCGATGACGATTGGAAAGCAATTTTGGATGGAAAGAATCGGAGGTATAAGTACTAAAGCTGAACAGAGGCCTTCTTCTAAAAGGAGACCTGGTAATGATCCATATATCTGGGCTGTCATCACCATTTTCACATGGAGATCAATGTTGGCGTGTTAAATTTTTTTTTTTTTCGAATGCCAAATTTAGTTGAGCGTGGACCTGTGCTGAATCCAAGGCGTGTTGCAAATCCTCCTGAATCCAAGGCGTGTTGCAAATCCTCCTGAATCCAAGGCGTGTTGCAAATCCTCCTGAATCCAAGGCATGTTGCAAATCCTCCTGCAAAATCCAAGGCCTGTTGCAAATCCTCCTGAAAACAGGAAGTGAGGGTAAATCTTTCTGGTGACAACTGTCTAAGAAAGGAAGTAATAGATATTTTCTTTTGCTTCCTTCTTTTTTTTTTTTTAACAAAAAATAAAATTGGGTTTGTGCTGAGAAGGCACTGGTTTTCCCATTAATCATATCCCGTGTTCGGAAGACCATCTCATTGAATCGAGCCGACTCGCTTTGGTGATAAGGCTGCTCTCGTGTACCAAAGCACCCCCAAAATGAGGCGGAGGAGTCTTAACCCCTTCAGGCCGGCACCTCCCGGCCCTTTAAGAGTTTCAGAAGTTGGGAGGCGGGGCGGGGTTTAGGGTCATGTGACCGCTGTGACACGCTGTCACGGTCACATGATTGGGAAAGGTCCCGATCAAAAGAGGAAATCGGGACCTTTTCGTGAGTACCGGACATGTGTGCTGGGAGTGGGCAGGGCGTGCGCTTTCAGCACATATGTTCTTTTTTAGTAGAACGCAAATGTGCGGCCGCTCGGTGTCTAGGCTCAGATGCCGGGAGGCCGCACATTTGCGTTCGGCCGGCGTGAAGAGATTAGGAATTCCAATAATGTACGAAGAATTGGGGGTGCAAAACCAATGGCCAAAACACCCAATATGTTTCATTAATCAGTGGAATAAGAGAGCCAACGCGTTTCAGTTCAGCCACTCCCCCTTTATCCACTGATACACGGGGAGTGTCTAAACCGAAACATGTTGGCTCTCTTATTCTATACACATGTGAAATAAATAACAAAAATCTGAATGTTATACATTTATATGAATATTTGTATGCACTGAACCAAAATGCACTGAATCTCTTATTCACACACAGTATAGATGTGTGTGAAAAACAGGTTCAACGCATTTCGGTTCAGCCACTCCCCTTTATCGGTGCTAGAACACATAACTGAAAGAAATAATAAAAATCTGAATGTTATACAATTGTATGAATATTTTTATTCTTTCACCTGTATTCTAGTCCTAATAAAGTGTGTGTGTGTTGGGGGGAGGGGGAATTCATGTCTGATCTGCTGGAACATGTTGGCTCTCATTCTATTGATTGGCGTTTTTGACCATTGATGTGACACCGTTACTACTCCTTACTTCTATCTCTGATAAAGGGGAGTGTCTGAACCAAAATGCACTGAATCTCTTATTCACACAGTATATGTGTGTGAAAAACAGATTAAACGCGTTTCGGTTCAGACACTCCCCTTTATCGGTTCTAGAACACATAAGTGAAAGAAATAATATAAATCTGAATATTATACATTTGTATGAATATTTGTATGCACTGAACTAAAATGCATTGAATCTCTTTTTCACACACAGTATAGATGTGTGTGAAAACAGATTCAATGCGTTTCGGTTCAGACACTCCCCTTTATCAGTGCTAGAACACATAAGTGAAAGAAATAATAAAAATCTGAATGTTATACGTTTGTATCAATAGTTGTATTCTTTCACTTGTATTCTAATCCTAATAAAGTGTGTGTGTGTGTGTTGGGGGGGAGGGGGAATTCATGTCTGATCTGCTGGAACATGTTGGCTCTCATTCTATTGATTGGCTTTTTTGACCATTGATGTGGCACCTTTACTAATCCTTACTTCTAGCTCTGATGAACAGGAAGTGAACCAAAATGCACTGAATCTCTTATTCACACACAGTATAGATGTGTGTGAAAAACAGATTCAACGCGTTTCGGTTCAGACACTCCCCTTTATCGGTGCTAGAGCACATATCTGAAAGAAATAATAAATATTTGAATGTTATACTTTTTGTATGAATATTTGTATTCTAGTCCTAATAAAGTGTGTGTGTGTGTGTGTTGAGGGGGAGGGGGAATTCATGTCTGATCTGCGGAACATGTTGGCTCTCATTCTATTGATTGGCGTTTTTTGTCTATTGATGTGGCACCTTTACTACTCCTTACTTCTAGCTCTGATGAAGGGGAAGTGTCTGAACCAAAATGCACTGAATCTCTTATTCACACACACTACAGATGTGTGTGAAAAACAGATTCAACGCGTTTCGGTTCAGCCACTCCCCCTTTATCGGTGCTAGAGCACATAACTGAAAGAAATAATAAAAATCTCAATGTTATACTTATGAATATTTGTATTCTTTCACTTGTATTCTAGTCCTAATAAAGTGTGTGTGTGTTGGGGGGGAGGGGGAATTCATTTCTGATCTGCCGAAACATGTTGGCTCTCATTCTATTGATTGGTGTTTTTGACCATTGATGTGGCACCTTTACTACTACTTACTTCGATCTCTGATGAAGGGGAAGTGAACCAAAATGCACTGAATCTCTTATTCACACACAGTATATATGTATGTGAAAAACCGATTCAACGCGTTTCGGTTCAGACACTCCCCCTTCATCAGAGCTAGAATACACTCAAGTGAAAAAAGTTTTACAAAATAATAAAAAATGTATCATTTTATCATTTTGTCCACATTTGTATATTCTTTCACTTGTGTTTTAGCCCTGATAGAGTTGGGGTGGGCTATCTGAACTGCTGAAACCTGTTGGCTCTCATTCTATTGATTGGAGTTTTTGACCATTGATGTGGCGCCTTTACTGCTTCTTACTTTAGCTCTGATGAAGGGGGTGCGTGTGAACCGAAACACTTTGAATCTTTTATTCATACACATAAACAGTATATGTGTGTGAATAAGAAGATTCAACGTGTTTTGGTTAAGACCTTTCCCGCTTCATCAGAGCTAGAACACACAAGTGAAACATTTTAGAAAATAATAAAAGTATGAATTTTTGTATTCTTTCACTTGTGTGTTAGCCCTGATACACTGGAAGGGGGAGGGTGTTTGAACTGCTAAAACATGTTGACGCTCGTTCTATCGATTTGAGGTTTTGACCATTGATGTTGCACCTTTTCTGCTCCATACATATTTGAATGAATAATAAAGTTAGAGGTTTTATCCCTTCCCCACTTTTTTCAAGAAAATACTGTCAGGACCTGGATCTGAACCTGCAACCTCTGTTGTGTCTGGCAGTATCTTTTCTTGCTGAGCCACCTTAGATACTCACTTTCTTAGACAACCTTGCTTTGTGTTTAGTTTCTCTTGAACCTTGAACCCTTTGCTCCTCTCATGAGCTTCCTAATTAGGCCATGCCTTTGCACTTCCTGTTTGCCAGATTATTGTGCTCTCTCCAGCCAATATCTCTCTCTTGTCACTCCTGCTGCCATCCATATCTTCGCTGCCACTCATTACCGAATTTTGGCTTGTTCCATGACTACGCTTCTACTCGATCCCAACCTGCAACCACTTGTTACTGACCTTTGGCTTGTTCCGTGACTACGCTTCTACTCGATCACAACCCACAACCACTTGTTACTGATGTTTGGCTTGTTCCATGACTGCGCTTCTACTCAATCACAACCCGCAGCCACTTGTTACTGACCTTTGGCTTGTTCCGTGACTACGCTTCTACTCGATCCCAACCTGCAACCACTTGTTACTGACGTTTGGCTTG